AGACTTTTAGAAATGTGATTCATCTACTACTTTTTGTTATAATTCTTAGTTATAATCCAATCCCATGACTGTGATCTGCCTTACTACAGAGATATAGATTCATAAATATATATGAAAGATAGATTACACCTTTGTAAATACCACTTTGCAGATAGATCAATTAGATAGATAGATAGATAGATAGATAGATAGATAGATAGATAGATAGATAGATAGAGAGATAGATAGAGAGATAGACAGATGGACAGATAGACTAGTATTGAAGAGATGTTAAGTATCAATAGTCATGGCATGATAAAAAGTGAAATAAATTTGTTTAGTAAGAATTTCAGTCCCTTTACTCAGTATGAATTCCTACACGAATATAGTTATTTATCCCATGACTTATTATTGGTTTCATTTCTATAATATACCATTTAGAAGAGCTAGATCGTGGAAAGTGACAGTATAGTCAGGTCACCATATCAACTGTGATGGCTATATTTGGTTGTCAACTTGACTACATATGAAATTAACTAAAACCCAAGTGACTAAGTACACCTTGAGGGCTTTTTCTTGGCTAAATTATTTGAGGTGGGAAATGCCACCCTAAATATGCAACTTTTGAGAAGGAAAGAGCCACCTTAAATCTGGACCACATCTTCTGCTGGAAGCATATATAAGATGTAGCAGAAGGAAGCACTTTATCTTTGTCTGCTTGCCCTTGATCTCACTGGCAAGGTCATTCCTTCACTGTCATTGGAGCCCATTTCCTCAGGATTTCTATATAAACTTAAGTCCATTTGAGACACCGACCTTTGCGGACTGAACAACTATTATATTCTTGAACTTTGCATTGGTAGACAGCCATTGTTGAACTGTTTGGATCATAGACTGTAAGCCATTCTACTAAACTCCAGTACACACACACACACACACACACACACACACACACACACACACACACTCACACACACACATACATGCATTCTGTTTGCTTCCTCTAGAGATCCCTGATTAATATATCTACTCTCAAAAATATGAAATTTACTCTTTTGAGACTTAGAGCAATGTCCTACCATCATCCTATTTTACCCTTAAAGTTCTTACATATTCTATAACAATAAATATGTCATATAACAATACATATATGTGTGTATATTAAATAACTTCATATTATACAACTGTGTGTGTGTGTGTGTGTGTGTGTGTGTGTGTTAAATTTTGTGGTGTATTTTGCTTCCAATCCATACTAACTAGTATCATTTAAATCGAACTTATTTAAGATCTATGGATGTAGTTTACTTGCAAGAGTGCTTGCCTAGCATGCACAAAGGACCAGATGTGATATTCAGCACATCACAAATTCGGCATAGTGATCCATGACTGTACAAACAATACTATGGAGATGGAAACAAGAACATCAGAATCTCAAAGACATTCTCAGCTACATAATAAGTTCAAGGTAATCTGTGAACATATGACACCTTGAACATGTATTATTTTCTTTTACACACACACACACACACACACACACACACACACACACACACACACACACACACACACACACACACAGTGAGAGGGGGAAGGGAAAGATAATTCCCTAAAAAAAATTTTAATGTAGGACTTCAATCATATCCATAGTACCAACTCTCCAGTTTTAATCTCCTTTTCACATTGATAAATGATAGACAGAAAAATAGATGGAACAAAGATTCATGATAGATAATAATCTATACATATATAGATAATTAGATACAGAGACAAAACACATAGACAGACATATTCACATAGTTCTCCTTATTAGACAATGATAGAGGATAGTTAAACTATCCTCATGTATACTTCTTAGACAAGGAACATGATGGATAGGTTTTTGTTCATAAAGTGCACTGAAACCACATGTTCTGAATACTCAAAGGAGACATCAGAGTCATCTCTTTTTATAAGGGTTTTCTGGTAGAAAACAAAAAGTATTTCTTAAAATAGAGCCTCAGGGCACACAAGCTGATTCTTCATTATTTTTCCCACATACAAGAAAAGGAAGCTGAAATCTAATAAATTTTACTTTTCCCAAAGTTCAAATCTTTAAGGTATAACAAATTCACATTTAATTTAATAATGAATAATACACAAAGGCAATAATTTCAAGAATCACAAGATTTTTATTGATTTGAAATTTTTATTAGATGGAAAATAACCTTAATGCAGTGGGACATTGGAAACTGAAAACACCCTAATATACAACATTTTAGTTTATCTACTCTGTTTCAAATAACCAAAATGACATTAGTTATTAGCAGCCAAATAGAACTTTATCATTTACTATTTCAGACTCTGAAGAAAGCAGTAGTATTAGATATCATAGTTATATTCTGTACCTATGGAAAATTGAGGCTGCTATGCTACTATTTTATTACCTTCACATACATCCATCGACCACGGATTCATATGTGTCTAGCATTGTTAATGTTTTCTTCTATGAAAATATCTAATGCAGGAAAATAATTATGCTCATGTGTATTTGTGTTTTGTTTAAAACTTAAAGGACAAACCTACAGGAGGCCATTATACAGACTTCAATATTGATAACATACCTGGCCTGGTTTGGCATTTTCACATACAGCTGTCTCATAGGGCACAGATATTTCTGGAGGAAATTCATTGACATCTAGGACATTAATCAGTATGTTGACTTTGCTGGTTAATAATGGGTTACCTGTTGAAAACATAAAACGATAATACTACTAAACATGGATATTGCTTCTCCAAAAGGTAGATTTATTCTCAATTACCTTTGATATAAAATGGGAAATAATCTATTATAAGAAATTGCAAGAGAGCAACTGCAAAAACAAACAAACAAACAAGCAAACAAACAAAAACCAGGATGAATAAGAGAGGTATTGATGTAAATCTGTTGGATCAGGAGGAAGACACATTAACAGGTGGGAGTAACTATGTACTGATGTGTTATCAAAAGTGTGGGGCTTTTCTCCTAGATTGATTTAACCCTCTCTTTAGGGTTAGTTTACTGAGCTTACCTTATCCAATGTTGATATTTATTTTATTAAACAAAATATAGTTTTCTGTGTTGTGTCAATATAATCAGAAGTTTTAATATATAAAATATTCATAATATATAAATAAATATCTCAAATTCATCTTTGCTGTCAAAAATTAGTGGTACAGATTTAAGTAAAATAGAACAGAGGGGTTGATTTTGGGAGTCCAGAAGTCATCCTTAAATTATTTCTGGAACTAATAATAAATAAAATTTTGATAAAGACTCATTTATTCCTTAATGACCCCACCAATAACTTTGGAGCAAGGAAGCACTGTCTAACATGAAGTGCAAATTTTCCCCAGCCAATGTTTTTATTATCTGGCTTCTTGTCATGTGTTGAAGAAGAAGACTGGAAATTATTTACTAAGGATGAAAATGCAATGCACAAAATATGTTTTAAAGCTACTTTAAAACAAAAATTTTTTCTAATGTAGATTTTACAGCTGGATAAACTGCCTCAAATGTTTGGTGATCTTATCCAGAGTACAGAGCTAAAAGAATGAAGAAATAAATACAAATACAGATTGACAAAACCCCAGCAACAGGCTCATCCCACCATATTTACTCAATCATTTTTTTTAACATCTGTAATGTGAAGATTCTTAGTACTTAGGTATAAACCTTTGAAACACACACTAGAAGTCTTAACTACTGACTGATTCTAACAACTCTATCATCTTGCTCTCAAAATTTATTAAAGCATAAGTTAAAACACGCTATGTAACATTTGATGATATTTTTAAAAATTAATGTCTAAGTGAAACTTAATCACATAGGCATACCAGCACAAATAGTAAAAAAAAAAATGAAGATAAATGTATTCTATTGTATGGGTTGTGAATGGAAGAAATACTTACCACATTAGAGAATGATTCAGAAATATATATTATATGAAATTATATTTTGGTGCATTATTTGTTTGAAAAGACTTAGTTGAATTTTGACAACCAATTTTATCCTTGGTTTCCAATTACCAAACTGAAATTTTTCATATAAAATAGGTTGTATTAATAGTTTCTGATTCATAGGACTGCTGCATAAATACAATGGCATTATACAAATGTTTAATGAACTTTGCAAGTTATCATTAATCTCATTGCTAAAACTACATAACAAATATCATTGAATCTGCTTACTTGATATTTGTTATGTGAATAGTGTAAATGTATATATAAAATTCATTAAATAAGTAAAACTGAGTTTTATTTTCTAAAGAAACTAGAAATGAACAATACTTACAAAGGAGTGGCCTCTTACACTGTAACGTTTAGTGTGTACTGATGATCCAAAACACATTGCCCAGGTGATGTTGGACTCACAGCATACACAATATAAACATTAAGAGTTTCTCTTTGTATATAAAATTCTGAATATTAGTAATATAGACCTCTCTAAAACTTACAAATGTGAAGTACAAGGACAAAGTTTTAAATCAAGTTTTCTTAAACATTTTTAATTATATTACACACACACACACACACACACACACACACACACACACACACACACATATATCAACATTTTGACATTTGGACTATTAAAATATGTAAAGTAGTGAACTAGTCCATAAAACTAATTACTAATAAAATTCATGAAGAGTAACAGACCAGTTCAATTCTTCACTGAATGATATGAGGCTAAGACTCTGCTTTCTGTATTGCCTGGTAAGTGAAGTTCAAGTCCAAACACATGATTCACACTTTAAGTTTCTGTGAAGTTGAGTTGTCTTTGACAGGAAACAAATTTCCTCAATTAACTGCATTCATCTCCAAAATTTAGTTTCATAAAATAGTTGTTTAAATGTACAAGACTTACTTTTGCCACAATTTCACCACAAATTAGTAAATTGCTACTGTGCGTATGCTTGAAAGGTAAATTAACACACATTTCCGTAACTAAAGTTTTGCAAAATTATCATCAATGTTGTCTTGTTGTTAATAGTCTTTCTACACAGGACATTTTTATTTTTCACATTTTACCTCAGACAAATCTTTGCTGTGTGAAATTATTCTGTGCACTGTAGGATATCAAGATTTTCCAAAATTAAATGTCACAAAACATCATTGTAGATATCAGAAAATGGATGTTCAATCAAAGAAAAAGTAACATAATAGCAACAATTTCAAAGCACTGAAGTGAGTAATGTGTTCATTGACTTAATTTAGTGTCCTTTCTTCTATTGTTTATGTTTAATTTATTTTATAGCATTATAAAATTATACAAATCTCACTTTTAATTCTTAAGTGCCACTACAGAAACAAAGACATCTCTTTAACAACTACTGTTCTAAAATAAATATGAAATATTTTGTCAGAGTATGCAATTTATTAGAACAATATAGAGTTCTTTCATTTAGAGATATAATTTATTAAATTGTGTTGAAAATAAAATGACCTATTTACTTAATCATCTTAACTATATTTGGGACAAATATGACAAATTTCTTTATTTCTTGTTTATCATGAAGATTTTGATGAAAATACTTGATAGTAAAACCACATAGAATTTATGTAGCATTGGAAGCTTTTAAACAATTTATATTGTGAAACTAACCTATGAGCACTTATGGAATCATAATATCTTTGAAAATCCTGAAGAAATGATATTTTATAACTAAAAGATAATTTAGAACTCATATAAAGTTTCAGTTGTCACGCTATTCCCCTTAATGCCAAACGGCACTGTCAATAGCAAGAAGAAAAGACATTAACTTAATCAATAGTTCACTATATGTAGAATATTAATACTCCCTATAGAGTTTATAAGAAGTACCTTGATTTTATGGATAGCTATAAAATCTATAGATGAAATAAAGGCATGAACATTACCCCTGACTTCTATAGGAGGCCAAACAAGAGTTGAAATTTGCACTGGAGTGAATTAACAGTGATGACAAGCACTGTCAGCTCCTCCAGATGACCTGAGTTTGATTTCCAGCCCCACATGAAAGCTCTCAATTGTCTGTAACTCCATTTTGAGTGAAGGAACCCATCTTCTGGCCTCCTTCTACACCAGGCGTGCACATGTTGAACATATATACACAGAGCTAAAGTACTCAAGTCCAGAAAAAGCAGTTTGCTGCCTGACAGATGGGTAAAGATTCTTTGGAATTTGTATAAATAATAAATAAATAAATAAATAAATAAATAAATAAATAAATAAGCCAAAGATTTTTGTTGTAGAACATTTGATATATATTGTGCTACTATGCTAACTGTGGACATAAAAAGTGAAAAATACACAACTGCTATAGTCTTAAAAATGAGAAGATGGGAGAATAATCAGGATGTTGATCAGTAAAAGATATAAAGAAGCCATTTAGGTAATAAAAACATTATTTAAAATAACTAAAATACAGATGAAAGTATGTGAAAGAAATTCAGGGATGAAAATACAAAATACAGCTTAATATTTCCTCATGGCATAAACCTTGCTACACAGATCAGCCTCTCCAATAATGAACTTTTACCCATTGAGATGCCTGTCTCTATTGATACACTTACCCCCCCCTTTTGTACATGAACCTCTTCCCTCCAATACTTCCACCAGCGCCAGGAACTCTCCATTATCTTCCCAAGTTTATGAGTTCATTTTTTTTCAGATCCCACATATGAATGACTTTAGCAATGAGGTTCATTGTTTCTAAGCCTTTTTGACTATATTAAAGATAAAGTCATATAGAATCATACATTATAATGATTTACTGAAATTTATCAATGGGTGTTTTACAGATTTGGTTATTTGTTGCCTACTCTCAATTATTTATATTCTAGTTTCCCTTCTATTGCTGTGACATCATAAAAATATCATGTTGGCCCAAAGCAACATATGAGCTTTTCTCCTTTGCTTTTAGTTTTGGTGATAAATATCATGACCTACAACAACTTGAAGGGGTAAAGGGGTTTGCTGTCAGCCATTTTGGAAACAGTCTGTCACAGAGAGAAGTCAGGGGAAGAACCTAATAGGAAGACCTATGGCAGAGACCATGGAAGAATGTTTCTTACTGGTTTGCTCAGTTTTCTTTATTACCTAACCCAGGATCAAAGGCCAAGGGATGATCAGTGGGCATGGTCCTCCTACATCAATTATCAAATAACATGTCCCCTCATATATGCCAAAATTTCAATATCATCTTGGTAATTACTCATCTGGGGTTTGTTGCTTCAAGGTGAGAATGCAAAAGAGATTCTACATAGCTACTTGCAGAAAAGAAAAGAAAATTAGAAAATGTTAGATAAGGTAATATAAAATCAAATATAAATATAAACATATAAAACAAAAATGATACTAATTTAACATTTAAAATAATGGTGGCATTTAGACCTCAATACCCAGTAAAATTTGAATCAATAAAAGTAGCTGTGGTGATTTATTCTACTTATTTTTTGTTTTCCCAAATTTATGCTCATTTAGTATACTAGGGCATCTGGGACTGTGGTTAAAAATATTTTCCATTAGCATAATCCAAGAATTTACTTATGATGTGTATATCTAGAAAATATTTCTAGAAATATTTTCAGATTGCCTTCAGTACATACAGACATCTGATTTTATAATAATGTCACTGAAAAGTGCAGATAAGTTTACTTGGTGGGTAAAGTTGCTTGCTGCCAATACTAATGACCCAACTTTCAACCCAAGGACACTTTGGGACAAGGAAGGAAGCAACTTCTAAAAGCTGTCTTCTGACTTCCACACAGAGGTGTGGCACACTCCTCCCAAAAGTAAACAAATAGAAAATACCCCTGAGTCCAACGCAACTATGGTTATAACATTGAGGAATACTAGTAAGTAGAAAACACCATACAAAGATATGATTTCTCCATGTATGAAGAAATATCTTATCTTTTTCTATAAAACATTGAGGTCTAGTTCACTGGATATGCTTTTCATTGAGAACTCTGTTGTCCTGGTTTGGTTTGATTATCATTAGTTGTGTGATACTAGGCTATCGACATACTACCTCAGAGTATCCATCACCTGACTTCTACAATGTGGGCAAAACCATACAATGATTTTAGGGAATAAAATGAGATATATGGTTATTAGAATAGCTTAGCTAAAGAGTTCTTTATTCTGTTGCTTATTATTCTAAGATAGTATTTTTTATGTTGTAGGAGAGAATGTTATTATGCTTCAGATTTGTAAATTCAGATATGTACATTTCACAAAATTCTGTCAAAAGAAATTTCTATTATTTAAATGCTTTATAATCCAGTGTCCATTCAGTGGTCAATCATAACCTTTACTCATTCCTCTATATCTTTGTCCAACTAAATACAAACTACCTAGAATTCAGCAAATTTTCACAATTTAGCTTACTAAATCTTTACTTCAGCTATTTTTTTTAATCTATCCCTAAACTGGAATGTCCTTGAATAGAAATTACTCTTACATTTCTCATATCTACAACAAGCAACAGTTTTCTGAACGTGGTCCTCTCCACAGCTAATAAATGTATAAATTTATTTCATTTTAAATCTTAATTACATGTTTGAAACTTAAAATTTTATTTTGGAGGGTATAAAAACTAATAGTATCAAAAGCAAAGGAGTCAGTAAGACAACATAAAATATCTCTAGAAATAATAAAATATTTTTAATGTATCAAGTGTTAAAGCATAATCCTATGCTTACAGGTAAAAAAGTCCCCCAAAAGAGCATTGGGTGAGGCATTTCAGTGATACTTTACTTGTTACAGAATGAACAGACTACATCCATCGGACACCTCATGGACAAACATAATGGCTCTGATATGATTTGAGAAGCAGCCCTCATTGACTGAAACTAGAGTGACTTCTCTATGATGGAGTGGTTTGATCAGGAAAGTTACAAAAGCAATTGCTTTTTAGCATAAAATATGCTCTGCTCTGTGGCACTGTCAGTTCAGACCTTATCTTTTCACTTAAATTTGCATTTCCATTACATGGAGCCTTGGATAGTCAGTCTTGAGTTCACAGCAAAGTTCTCAGGACAGAAACAGAATATAACCAGGTTCTCCACAAGAATATCACATGAATATACCCTAGCCTACTTCCGGATAGAGTCTTGGTTCCACTCAGAAGCCTCCTGAGCTGAGTATCTAATATTTGTGCTTCTTTTGCATTTGTCTTCAAATCCCACCAATTTTTGCCCATTAAACTCAGCTTTAAAGCATTTTGCCCTCAATCTGCTCCCTCAGTCTTCGTACAAATGAGGTCCAAAGACCTAGGAACCATGTATTCAGGTTTACTGCAGCCATGGCTCCTCTTCTAGATGTCAATTTCTTGTTTCTGTTACTTTTCTACGGTCTTGATAAAACACTCTTACAAAGCAGCTTTAGGAAGGAAGGGATTATTCTGGCTCACAATTCAAGACTTCACACTCTTACAGAACAGCAGTCACCAGGCAGGAGCTTGAGGAAGCAGCTTACATGGTATCAACAGTCAGGAATCTGAGATTAAAAGCATGTTCAGGCTCAGCTAGATTTCTCCTTTTAATATAGCATTCAACCCTGTGAGGTGCTGCTGCCCAATTTGAGAGCGGATCTTCCAAACTCAACAGACTAGATCATTTAGATAACCAGTCATAGACTCAGATATTTCAAGAATTTAGCATGATTTTCATAGTCCCTTGTAGGCATGAATTGATATTCACTTTTTGGGTGATAATAGATTCTATCTAACTGGCAATCAATATTATCACAATTTACAATTAAGAATTAGGGAAGACTCAAAATAGTAAAATTGGCTGGTGTGTAATCGTGATCTAGAGAATTGATTTGACAGTACTTTTTTTTAAAAAGAAGTTGTTAAAGGTAAAGAAAACAGGACCAGGGAAGAGTTCAGATAATGAAATTCTTTTTTCAGATAAATGAGACTTGTATTTGATCTTAAGCAGCTACGTTCTAAGGAAATTGTGGTAGTTCACCTGTCTGTGGCTGGAAGTTGAGCTAACCTAGTCTAATTAGTATGCTGGAGCTTCCCAGCAAATCTTGTGTAAAACAGCCATAGGGATATCTCCCAGTTGTGACATCTGAGACAGACCTCTGGCTTCCTGAAATATTTGAACACATGTAAACATGTTCTGCCACTCACATGTACATACACACATGCACATTCTCCTGCATATATGCTAACACATTTAAAAACATAAACAGAATTCTTCCTTACTTACACCCCACCCACATTGTAGTTTTTTTTAATTTGAAATGCGAAATTAATATCTAAAGTGTAATAAATTTCTGCCAGATGCTCAAAGTAATATAAGGAAGACAAAAACAATAAGTAAAAGGTATCCCAAAGGGACTTCTCAAAACTCTAAAAAGACCACAGCAGAAGGGAGGAGATGAGGAGTTTCTCATAAATATACTCATGCTAATAGCTAAATATTAAATATTGTCACTTTGTAATTGAGATAGATTGCCACATCTTTGAATGCCTTATCAAACCATAAGTTCTACTCAAAGTCTAGAAAATTCACTCCTGTGCCACAAGGAAGCATAAGGAATTCCAAAACAATCTATATATTCTAAGCAATGTACTCAAAAAGTCCACTTAAAAATTTAATATGATCCTTACTCTTCTTAATATATGTTCTCATGAAATAGGAGGAAAGGGTGAAAAGACATTTTTAAAAAGGTTTGCACAGAATTCAGTAAATATTTCATAATAGATAATTTCATATGCTTACTTTTCTTCTTTCCTAACTTTTAACTCTGAATAATATAGATACAAGGAATATCTGTGGAAGAGAAGTTGACACTTCTGCAAATTCTGGAAACTATTTAATAAAAAGGGGTGAGGTTACACAATGAAAATCACTTCTAGGTATTCATGCAATCTTGCAAACAGGGCTCTCTGGCAGCTGTCACAATTTCTCTGGACTTATGCTATGAGGAATAGGAACAGGTTTCTGAGTTTCCCCGGGAGACTACTCAGCTGTCAGTCCTAAAATAAAAAACACCCCAGCAGGGACTCGTTTAAGAGTGTTAAATCCACAGAATTGCAGTATAACATTGATTCTGCCCATGCCATACTTACTAACTTTACTTGCAATTATGGAGAAATTATACTGTGCAGTGCTCTCTCTGTCTAGTAATTCATTCGTGGCGATGGTTCCTTCAGTTCCGTCTATTGTAAAGTAGCTGTCCCCATCACTCTTCCAATCTATGAAGTACCTGTATGTGAAAGGGGTAGATGCAAATGCACAATGATTACACATGAATCATGATGGCAGTTAGGCTAACTTGACACAGTTACTTATTTTTCACCCTGTAGCTATTACCCACCTTGCAATAAAGAAGAGGGTAAATGACAGCTCCTTTATTGTAAAGTCAGTATGCTCAAGGGGAAACGGGAAATAATGAAAGATTTAATACTCTTGCTGTTCATATTATTTTAGGGTCTTGACACTTTGAAAGCTCAGCAGAGACTGAAATTCTAAAGCTGACCATGGTTTTCCTTAACCTACTGAATATTAAAACTCTCTCAAGTAGTAAAAGAATCCCTCAATGAGACCAGTGGGAAAGGTGAAGGATGGAGAGAGATTTCTGAAAACTACTAAAATTCTAGGCGGAACAGACACAGCTTTTTGCTTCCTTGAGAGGAAGAAAGGATAATAGTACAGGAAACAAACAAAAGTCACTGAAATTTGGGGGATTCAGCAAAATTGTTTACCCTTAATTAGTTATATCTTTGTAACTTTTAAATTTTCTGACATCCTTGGTCAGATAATATTGCCTTCTCTGCAATAGCTAGCAGAAAAACCCAAGATTATGAATAATAAAAGAGAGATTAAATTTCCTTAAATATTCAGATAATGAGATACATGTGGAATGATAAAGATCTTCTTGATTACAATAACAAAATATTTTGTTTACGGTGCTGTGTTAAGATCCCAGAGCCATGAACATGCTAGGAAAATGCTCTAACAGGGAAGGAAACACAGGGAAACCAAGAATTATAAAAGGTTAAAAGCCAACACTGGTTCCATAACTATCAACATTAACTTCTTTATCTCCATAATTGTCCATATTGAACATTTTTATTCTCTTTATATAGCATATGAAGAAACCAAATTCCAAAATATGAAAAAAAATGCCTGGGTTTATGGACCAGTTTAATGATATTTGTCACATAACCATCAATATTTTGTATTTGTGACTTGAAATAAAATGCTGTATTGGAAAGCTACTGTGCTAATAAGGAGGCACAAGGTGCAGGATCTTTCCCAAGTATTTTGGACCCTATGAACCCCACAGAAGTTATTAAAGATAGGGGTCAAGGCAAATAATATTTTCCCATTTGACCCATTGAACATTTCCATGCCACAAATGAGTAATTATTTTAATCAGGAGAAATTAGTGAATATGTGCATCTATATATCAGGTTATTATTTTGAGAAATTCATGTGATTCCTATCATTGCACTGAGAGATCAAATCCAGTTTTCCATTACAAATGAGATGTATAAGCTTAACATATCAATATCTTTTAGTAACTGATCTTACAATTTGTTATTATTGTTGCTTGGTCTGAACCATGGTGTTAATCTGCTTTTGATATCTTAGCTTCTGATTCATGACGTAATAAATCATTGAAGTCTAATAATTTTGATGTAACAGCTCTTTCTATAGGAACATGTCCAAAAATACAAAAGAAGTTAGAGTGCACTTAAGAGTTAAGGAGAATTGAAATAATCTTATTTTGTTCTTCCTATTGCAAGTACTTTTCTAAATAGGAAAATATTTTGTCACAATATTCTTTTTCTTGGCACTCCAACTAAACATATGCCAAACTCAAAGAGAAAATTGCAACTTAGCCTCATTAGCTAATATTTTATGAGTTACCATTGATGCAGAATGTGTTCAATGCATAACTGACAAGTGTCTACTACACACTAAACACCATGCTAGAGGGAACTGTATAAAATGGAATATAATGCTCACCACTGATGGATGTGGAGAGACAATTATCTCTAGATGATCTCGCCATCTGATAGATGATGAGGAAAGGCCTTGCAATAGTGCCAGGGAAAAATACCTATATAAAATCTAATGCCTGAAGAAGAAAATCTCCCAGACCTGGTGATTGGATGGCCCTAGAAGGCTGTGTAGAAATGATCCAGGGAAAGACTAGCAATCACAGACAAGAGGGAAAGAACCTATTTTAGGTAGCTGTATTAGCGGTAGAAACCCTAGGAAATAGCTATAGAAAAGCTATGCTGTTAGCTATTATCACAGAAAAGACAGAGTGGCACAATACCAAAAGTGATTTAGTACCTGGATAATTTGCATATAATAATAAGGAGTGGAGTCTACATGTGATAAGAGATTCATTATTAAGGAGATTACTAAAGCATCAACTGAACAACAATTGCTTTGAAGGCCAGTTAATGGGAGCATTCAAACAAGACAACACTGTTTAAGTAAGCATTTTTTGGCTTCCAGAATTTTCCAAAAGACAGAGTAGCCTGGACAGCATGGCTGGATTTCATTTCAAGGAGCTTTGAGGAGTGGTTACCATAAGAAGGGGCACACTGCCCAAAGGAGAGAAGATGCAAGCACTCACTAGGTGATTAGGATTTGGTAAAGATACAGAAAGTGTTAGGGTGACTCGCTGTATTGAAGTGCATGGGAGAAAGGAATAAAGAATCAAGGCTGTGTTCATGCATGTCTCAGGAAAACAAAACAAAGGCTTGTAATCTATAGGTGCATAAGATGAAAAAGAGTTTCTCGAGGAAATGCCTAAGATCAGGAATAATTTTTCAGCTCCTACAATATTTTCTTTCTGTGCCAAATAGGAATTTAATTATCCTACACTTACTGTTAGAGTTGTTATAGCAAATACAAATTAATAATTTAATATCTTAAATAGTTTTGTGTTCTCCAAAGCCTTGGGCATTTGAATATTTGGATTCAGATTGGTAGAGTTGTTTGGGTTGGTTTAGGAGATGTGGTCTTGATGGAGAAAGTTTGTCATTCTGGTTAGACTATGATCATTCTAAAGCCACATGTCATTCCAAATTCATTCTCTCTCTCTGTTTCCTGACTATGGTTTGAAGATGTGAGCTACCAGCTTAATGCTGTAGCTACCACACCCACCTAGTGTCCCAATTCCCCACAAGGATGGTGACGTGTTGGGATCAGAACGTCTCTAACAACTAAGATTGCCCCCACCTCCCCTGTTCTGAGTGCACTGAGGTCAGGCTGTTCTGAGGATGTTTTGCTGTTTGGTATATCTCCTGGTTTGGCAGCTGTGGCTTCCTGGGGCATGCTGACCTTTCCTTGACCCTGGGTGCTTGATAAACAATTTTGTTTGTTTCCTCCTGAAAGGGTATATAAGATGGGGAAGAAAGAATAAAGCTAGTCCTGATGCTTGCAACTTGACTGGTGTGTGCTGTGTTCACCCTGACTTCCCTCGCCAGGTTTTGGGCCCAATTGCCGTGCAGGCACGGCAGTGAGCATCTCCTGTCTCCTCTTATCTATCAGGAATCTAATGTCCAAATACATCTTTCAGTCTGTACGTTACATTGGCCAAGCTCTTTTATCAAAACAATGGAAAAGTAACTAATACTAACAGTCTGAGCTGTTCTGAACTGTAGTAGTTTCATGAGATTTTTATTACTACTCAGATCTTAAAAAACTGATATGAGAAGCTTCATTATCAGGAAATTTTAATTAAGTGATATGGAATCATGATAGTGGGAAAGAATAAAACAATGTTTTACCTCGAGAGTATAAAAGAGACTGTATCTTTTACCATTGTTAAAAATTATTAGTTACTACATTGTCCCTTCTCCATGATATGTATCAATCACTCTCCAACTTGATGTACAAGAACCAATACTTTGTTTTTAAAATACTTTCAAAATTTAAAAAAGTTGCACAAATATTACCATAAATGTTATAATTCCTAAGTGAATATTTTACATTTCCTTCAGAACTGTAAAATATTCACTTAGGAATTATAACATTTGCAAAAATATATGCATGTATACTGATATTTGGAAGATACATTTGAGAACATTTTACAGAAACCATGCCTCTTAAGCTTAAAATACTTAAACATGTTGCTCCAATAGCAAAGACAACAAGTTTGTTCCAATATTTGTAATTATAGTGGACATGTTCATGTGTATACAAAAGCATATGTCCCCGTGTTTTGTGTGTGTGTGTGTGTGTGTGTGTGTGTGTGTGTGTGTGTGTGTGTGTGAAACTTGTATACTGTTCTTCCACAGGAGCTGTCCAAATATTTTGAGACAGACTGTCTGTCTCATTGACCTAGAAGTTGCCGAGTAGTTTAGGTGGTCTGGGCGATGAGCACCAGGGGCACACCTATTTCTTCCTCCACTGCCTTGGATTGCAATCACTTGCCACCACACCTGGCTTTTTATTATTTTTGTTAACCTGAACTACTGAGCTTATTCTCAGGTCTTTGTGATTGCAAGCCAAGCACTTTCATGAAGAACATGCCTCTGATGCCCTTATTTCCTGCTTTTCTCTGTTCCTCTTCTAATGCTTTTGTTTGCACTGAATATTTTAAAATGCTATATGAATGCCTCTAATATGATTTTCATTTTTATCCAAGTTATCTTTTAATATCTACTCTAAATTTTATCATGTGCATTCATCTGATTTGAATTCATTTTAAGTTCAGAAAATAATAAAAGCTGTATTACTATTCAGCTAGGCATTCTGACATATTTAACACTTATTCACATATATTATTATATATTATAATTATATATCTCACACGTAGAGCTAAGCTTTTTGTAATCATTTGGTCTTATAATTTACTTCCATTAAAGCTGAGGACAGTATTTGAGGACCAACTTACTGAGCTGTCTGTTCTTATGGATTATTATACACTGGGCACCCCCTCTCAGCTACTGTCTTAGGCAGAGATTAGAGGAGCTTCTTGTCTTTCTATTTTCCCTCATAAGTCAAAAAATGTTGTCATGGACATGAGGAGCTATCTTGGGGAGGAATACCACACTGTGAATGAAGAAAGAAGTTACAGATCTTTTTGATCCAAACAATAGGGATATAGCTTCTGTTATTTGTAGTAAAAGACTACAAGAATATTGCTACTATGACCTCCCCAGAGTGGTACAATGAACCTGCCTGTGATGGGGGTTGCTGCATGGAGAAAAGTCATCTGTCCTAAGTCACACCGGT